AATTACTATCAGATCTTCATCAAAGATTTCTCACGAGTTGCAGCTCCACTTACACGCTTGACTAGTAAAGATAAATTTCAATGGAATCAAGAAGCGGAAGCAGCATTTGAAGCCTTGAAGACATCGTTTAACTCTGCACCAGTCTTATATCGTGTTGACTTTTCCAAGGTATTTTTTATGGAAACAGATGCATCAGATTTTGCCTTGGGTGCAGTTTTATCATAAATGGGAATAGATGACAAACTTCATCCGATAGCTTTTCATTCAAGAAAATTCTCAGCAGCCGAGATCAATTATGAGATCCACGATAAAGAACTTCTTGCGATCGTGGATTCCTTTCAAGAATGGCATCATTATCTAGAAGGCGCTTCTAGTCCAGTCACTGTGTATACAGATCACAAGAACCTCGAGTATTTCATGTCAACACGCGTGTTGAATCGTCGTCAAGCTCGTTGGAGTATGTCTTTGTCAAGATTCGAGTTCATTATCACTTATCGGCCAGGAAAACAACAAAGTTTATCCGATGCCCTATCTAGACGTTCTTATTTTGTACCAAAAGAAGGAGATGCAGCTTTTGAGCAACAAAGAACGATCCTCTTGAAACCGGAGCAATTTCATCTCCGAGCAATGAAATCAACATTGACTGTTGATTCAACTTTTCTCAAGCAAATCCAGTCCAATATGTCCTCAGACCCTCTTGTTTATGATATCGAGAATAATTCTTCCAAGTCTCATGTTCCTTCTTAGTTCGAGTTCAAGAATAATCTATTATATTTTGAAGGATGCCTATATGTTCCAGAAGGAGAAGCACGTTTACGTGTTCTTCAAGCACGTCATGACTTTCCAGCAGCAGGGCACTTTGGATATAATAAGACTTTGGAACTCATATCAAGAGATTTTTGGTGGCCACAAATGTGGAAGTCAGTCAAAGACTTTGTACAATCATGTGATATTTGTTCAAGATCAAAAATTCCTCGTCATCGACCTTACGGACTTCTTCAGCCATTACCTATACTAGAACAACCATGGTCTCCTGTTTCTATGGATTTCATCACAGATCTTTCAAGCTCAAGATCTTATGATTCTATATTTGTGATAGTAGATCGTTTCACCAAGATGGCACATTTTGTGCCATGTACAAAATCTATCACAGGTGAAGAAACAGCTAAACTTTTCATTGATAATATCTATCGCTATCATGGATTACCTAAAGATATCATATCGGATAGGAGAACTCAATTTGTGTCAAGATTTTGGAGGACCCTTTTCAAGATTTTAAAAGTGGACATAAAGCTATCTTCGGCTTTCCATCCTCAAACTGATGGACAAACAGAGCGCGTAAACCAAGTCTTGGAGCAATATTTAAGGTGTACTATCAATTACCAACAAGATGATTGGACAACCCTTCTGCCATTGGCAGAGTTTGCTTATAATAATACGGTACATTCTTCCACGCAACAAACACCTTTCTTTGCCAATTATGGCTATCATCCACGACTTGATACTTTTGATTTTTCAAAAGTTCATAATCCTGCAGCAGAAGATATGGCAAATCGGTTGTCAGAGTTACATGCAATAATGAAGACGCAATTGAAGGAAGCTCAAGAACGACAAAAGATAAACGCAGATCTATATCGTAAGGAGCAACCACAAATCAACGTGGGTGATAAGGTATGGCTACTTCGTCGCAATATCAAGACTACTCGACCTTGTGACAAGTTGGACTATCGTAGGCTTGGCCCCTTTTCTGTTTCTGAACAGATCAACCCAGTTGCATATCGGTTACATCTACCGGAGTCAATGAAGATCCATCCTGTATTCCACGTGTCTCTTCTTGAACCATATAAGACAGTGGATATACAAGGAAGAAAACAAATGCCACCGCCTCCTATAGAAGTAGATAATAATGAAGAATTTGAGGTGGAAGAGATATTAGACTCAAGGCGGCGCCGAAATAAGTTGGAATATCTTGTTCATTGGCGCGGATATGATATTAATGAACGCACATGGGAGCCATCCAGGAATCTAACAAATGCATCAGCTAAAGTCAAAGTTTTTCATCAACGACATCCATCGAAACCAAGATGAAAATCTCTCTTATAAAAGAGACAAGATTGAGGCAAGATAACATTCAATTTTCTATCCTTGTTTGTAACTTCTTTGCATTTGTGACGCTAATTAGATGGAGAGCCAACAACCAGTGGATTCAACTCAAGAACCTTCGTTTGCTGACCTGCAGGACGAGACATTACGATTGTCACAACCTTCAAGACAACGCAATCGAGATGAACATCTTCAAGAACGACATGTTCTTCCTCGAATAGATGGTGAGATACAACGCGTTTGGTATCACGATTTGGGAAGGAACTCCCGATGTTTGGTGATTTTGCTAGAGGTAGGAACAACTCCTGATGGTGTTCCAAATATTCTATTCGAAGGAAGTTACAAAGGCCTCAACAATGATCAAATAACTGGGTGGTCTTCCCGCCTTGGTATGGGACACTACCGGTGGTTGAGAGGCCCTATCAATCATCTTCGAAGAGAACAGAGATCAGAGTATGTGGCGAATATAATTTGTCGCATCATAGATTTCCTCAACATATGATGACCGCTCCTCGTGGAACTCGTCTCTAGAAGGGGGGGTAATGTCACGGCCATAATCATGTAAGCTAATAATTACATATAGAAATAGGTAGAAGTAAGTAAAAGTAGATAAAAGTAAGTTAATTCTATAATATTTAATATAGAAGCTTCCTAGAAACTTCCTAGATGCTGCTTTGACTTCATAGGTGTCTTTAATTGACTTTTTGGATTAGAAACGTAGTCAACAAGTTGGCCATGTGCCACACATGTTGTTAGCTTGAAGATCAAGCTAACTATGTGGCCCACACGTAGAAAAACTTGCCTTGTAAGTCAAGGCATGTGTCTTACAAAGTCAACACATATTGGAGGTCCTATAGAACGTCGCCACGTAGCCCCTAGTTAGATAGTATATATAGAGACAAGAGTGAAGGCTTCTTCACTTTTGTCAACTCCTTTCTTGCTTCTAGTCCAGGTTCAAGAGTCTTTAGTTTCTTGTCTTGTGGCAATAGCCATTCCAGTTTCCTTTTAATATACCTACTTGTTTATATTTTGACTTATTATATCGAGATAGCCTTTTGGTGTATATTTTCCCTCATCGAGTCTTTGTCCTTGACACCTTAATCCTAAACCCTAAAATTTGGTGTTGATAGACCCTCAACCCTAAATCCTATTCACACTTATATTTGTATATTCCAAATTGTACCATATTTACACTCTCGCTTGTATACCATGAATCTCCTTCAACCCCATTCACAATCGCACTAGTAGACCTTTAACCTTGAACTCTGTTCACACTTACACTCATAGATCATGAATCTCTTAAAATCTTGTTTACACTTGTACTTTTTGTAATCTTGTATCTCTTCAGTCATAAATCTAATGAAGGTTTTTAAATATGTTGTTGCAATTAGAAGCATAACAAACATTGGGGCACATCCACTTAAAATTTCAAAATAGGAAGTATACAAAAAGTCAACCCTCAAACCTTTCTCAAATCCATGGCTTTTTATCTCAACATTGAAAAACTTATACAGCAAGTTATTTACATCACATAATAGGTAGATGCCGTAGATAGGGAGGTAGGACAAATAAAAACCTCCAATATTTCTCGCCAATTGCGTACATTAATTCAAACATCTTAAGCACTAAATATCCAATATTATCTAATCCATACACATCCACAATAATTTAATCACATGTTTATAATTGGTAGCCCCTAAATCAACCCAATGCCCTTTTCAAAACTTTCAAATGCTCCTTGTATCACAAAGGTCAACCACCTTAGATGCAAAGTCAAACCACTATATATCTTGCAAACTAATAACTTATAGAGCAAGTTATTTGCACCATTGAAATTATAAATCTCAAAAACAAGGAAGTATGTCAATTCCAAATCCAAAAATAAGGAGGTCAGAAAACCTTGGCACATCCTTGTAATCCTAAATCCTAAACTCTTAAATTTAAATTCTAAATCCCTAAATCCTAAACCTTTGTTCTATTTTTTTTGTAATCATAAAATAATATTATACTATTTTTTAATATAAAAAACAAAAAAAAAATAAAAAAAATTATTTAACTTATCTTCTTTTTTAAAAAAATTAGATAATATAAATTAGATTATTATTTATCATCTAAAATATAAATAAATAAAATCACCATCTATTGAAGGTCTTTACTAATTGACACTTAGTACTAATTAAATATATGGCTACCATGTTAAGAAAAAAAAAAAAAAAAAAAAAAAAAACTTATATAACTTCTTTTTCATTCACAATTTCTTTCTTTTGTAAAAAACCACTTATTAAAAGATATAAAAATAAAAAGATATAACGAGATATAAAAAGACATAACAATAAAACTCAATTAATGTTAATCCTTCATTCTAGGGTTGCTTAAAATTCATAATCCCAAATAAATGGATTTCATTGTGCATAAAGATATAAATATATAAATATATATATATATATGCACATAAACAAGTAAAAGTCTATCCTTCATTCATTTGACAGGAAAGTTCACTTTAAAAATTCCTGGTCAGACATTTAAGCTTTGGTTCGAGATTTAGCAGAGCCAATTGGGCCTGAACCTGGAAATAATCATTATATATACACACCTTGGTCCGAAGAGACTGCGACCCAACTGATCGGCCTGTCAAGAGGACAGACCCCAAATCCAGGCTGCCTGCCTGCGAAAAGGGCGTAGTAGAATGGTTGTGGGTCGGTGAGGTATGTTCTGGTCCATGCAGGAATGATTACCTTCCAGGTTGGTTCGTGGTGATGAGGGGCCACCTGAACAGCACGATGGTGCCATTAGATGTTATAATCATGGTGTGGAAATGGTGAATGAATGTGGACATCCATCCGTCGCTTCGTTACTACTACTCTTCTTCGTCTCTCCCCCCCTTCTCCTCCTCTTCGTCGTGCTTTCACATTGTCACTTGAAGGCAGGCATGTGTGGAAGGGATGGCATCGGAGCGCAACAGTGGAGGCACACAACCACCACCCCTGTCTATGTGCTCCTCTGCAGCAGCAGCTGGATCATGGCTGCACCGGGGATCATCATCGTCTACGCACCTTTCCTGCTTTCCCTCCTCCACTCCCCCTCCTAGCCAAGGTCTCCCTTCTTCCCACGCTGCTTCTATGCTCTTTTGCCTTGTTGACTCTCCTCCGCCTCTTCCCCCTTCCCATGCTGCCCTTCTTTCTTCACCACATCACTCATTCTCGTTTACTCTCCGGCCTCTCTCAAGCTGCGGCGTCAGATGCAGTCCTAGTACGATTTCCAAGGCCTCTCATTCTGCGTATCATGATGGTGTATTGTGTCTATTAGTATGCCGCCTTGCGAAATTGCCGTCATTAAAGTTCATGCCATTCTTAGGGTTCAAGGCTGCGTCTTACATTGCTCTTATACTACTGTATCAGCAAAGGCACACGGGCTATCGTTTACGTCAATATCAAAGAGTTTAGTTTATCCTTTAAAACATTCCTCTTCTGATTGTGATGAGCTTTTCCGGAACGGACGGGATTATGCCAGCGGATTCAAGACCTCATGTAGATAGATGCTTTCGACGGAGCATTGATGATGTGAGTACCATCAGTGTAGACGACTGTTCAGATTTTATATTAGACGGAGATTTAAGCTTCCGCAGGTGTTGGGATGCTTCTATAAGCGAGTCCATTAGCAGCAGCTCAGACGGGTCCTGCGCACAGGAGTGGTCTCTTTGCAGCTCCAGGGATAGATCTGGTGAAGCGCCTTCTTTTGCTCCAAATATGAGTAATACACGAAATACATTCATGTGGGAAGAGAAGAGAGAAAAACGGGAGACGGAACTCTCAGGTTGAAACTTGACCTTGCCACTTAGTTCGTGCGGGCCTCCCAAGTAGTATGACATTGCCGTTGTATGTGCATGTTATTCTGTGTCAAGTTTGTTTGAGAAACACGCGTCAATGCTCTTGTCCGAAGATGTCTTGATGCCATTAAATTGCGAAAACTCTGATGGATTGATGGCTTCATTTCATTTACTTAAATGACAGAGGTGGAGATGATGAAAGAGCGGTTTGCCAAGTTGCTGCTTGGGGAGGACATGTCAGGTGGTGCCAAAGGTGTTTATACCGCTCTGGCGATATCAAATGCGATCACCAATTTTTCTGGTAAGTTCTATTATCAAATTCGTCATTCACTACGTAGCGAAAGAGTCGCATTTCTCTCCAGCACGTTTATAGAGCTTAATAGGTCGCTTAGATTTCTTTTGACAGGATTGCGATTTAGTAGAGAGAGCATGTACGGAAGATTCATATCTTGTTTGTCTTGGCAGCTTCACTTTTTGGTGAACTATGGAAACTGGAACCACTGCCTGAGGAACGACGAATGAGGTGGCGTAGAGAAATGGAGTGGCTTCTGTCTGTCAGTGATCACATTGTCGAGCTTGTGCCGTCGTGGCAAACCTTCCCTGATGGGAGCAGTACTGAGGTGTGAACCTTTTCAAACGAACATTCATTGCGGTAGTATTTTGACTTACGATCTGGATAAATATTCTCATATCCATGAGTACGTATTACGTAGTATACATCTTCTGACCAGCTGCATATTATCTTGAGCAGGTTATGATAACCAAGCCCAGGTCCGATCTTCACCTCAATTTGCCAGCTTTACGCAAGCTCGATGCTATGCTGCTGGTAATGAGCAAATCATCGGTGATACACTTTTAGTGGTAGATAGTATGACATGGATTTTCTAATTGAATTATTTAGGTGTCCAGAAAGAGTTCCGTGCCATCAATGATTAGTTACATGTCATATTGGTTGAAACGGCGTACTTCGTCAGTCATGTCCCAGTTCACCATCGTTTTTTTTATTTTTTATGTTGCAGGATTCTTTGGATAGCTATTCAAACACGGAATTTTGGTATGTGGATCGTAGCGTTGTCATGTCGGAAAAAGACAACGTCGCTGCTTCAAGGTTGTCTATGCAGAGACAACAAGAGAAGTGGTGGCTCCCAAATCCAAAGGTACCCGTGGATGGCCTTTCCGAGGAGGGACGAAGGAAGCTTCACCACCAACGAGAAGCCATAAACCAGATTTTGAAGGCTGCCATGGCTATCAATGGCCAAGTCTTGTCAGAGATGGAAGTTCCTGATGTATATTGGGATTCGCTTCCTAAGGTTTTTATTTTGCTTCGACTTTTCATATCATCAAGTAACCTGGGTTTAAGCACGAAATATCAAGATTCCTTAAGAATTTCATGTGACCCTACTTGTTTTCCGTTTGTCTGATATTCGCCCCGGTCATCACTGTGCAGAATGGGAAGTCTAGCTTGGGTGATGCAATTTACAAATATCTTTCTTCAGACAGTTACGCTGCCGAACAAATTTTATCTATGGTGGACCTTACAAGCGAGCATAGTCAGTTGGAAGTTGCAAATAAGCTAGAAACTGCAATACTAGTGTGGCGTCGTAAGATTCAGTCGAAGCATTCAAATGCTGCAGCCAAATCATCTTGGGGAATCATGAAAGACCTAGTGGCTGACGAAAACAGGAGGGAGCAGATTGCTGATAAAGCAGAGACTATGTTGCACACCTTGAAGTTGCGGTTCCCAGGGTTACCACAAACTGCCCTTGACATGAACAAGATCCAGTATAACAAGGTATGCACACCTGTATATCATTGTTTCTTAAAGGTTGCAATTGTTGTTGATGCATATTGGCGCCCCAATGTTAAATTTAACTAGAATTCGCTTGACTATAGGAGTTCAGCCCCTCTGTGATTCAGTTCTAATCGTGTTTGTGTGAGGCTGCAATCGTCAATGCAGTCTGTTTTTACTCTCACTAATTTATATATTGACCCGGGGTTTTGGTGCTCTGCATGTAGGATGTGGGTCAGTCAATTTTGGAAAGTTACTCTCGGGTTCTTGAGAGTTTGGCCTTTAATATCATTGCTCGCATTGACGATGTTCTCTATGCGGATGATCTGGTGAAGAATTCTGTGGGGCTTCCTCCAATTCCACCGTCGTCAAATGGACCACCTTACCAAACCAAGAACCCCTATGGACATCACAATATCCATCTAACAATGCCCGTTCCATATATCTCTCCAAATACTTCTCCCACTCTTAGTCCGCACCAGATCCCAAATTCTCCTCATGACAGTGTCGAAGGCTACCCCGTCGTAGGGGGACTTACCTTGAATCAAGTTCTCCCAGACTGGTCTTTTGGCAAATTTGAAACGATCGTCAAGAAAGATCATGAGTTGGTGAAACTACCTCCAGAACATCTTAAACTTTGGAGTTATGCTGGAAACCTAGAGAGCAAACATGCCTTGCACAGCCCTCCAAGTCGAGATTGATTTCTAAATCGCAACAGTTGAAGATCGCGGCTGTAATTGTTTTTGTTGAAACCGAGGGGTTTGAGTTGGAACGGATGTAGTTTACATAGCTTTCAGGAAGCCTTCAACAGATAAGGGATTGGACTCTCGCCTGTGGATGGGTTTACGATCCTAAATCACTTCGGGACTATAACAATCATCTAATCATTAACTGCAGGATGTTGCAGTCGCTGCATGAGACTACGTGTTCCTCGCTAAGGAACACCAAGAGATGCACCATACTTTCTTCAGAAAGCAATCCTTCATCAGCGTAGAAAAAAGGGGACCTACTCAAGCCAAGAGTTCTGGGTAAAGTTCTCCAATCTCTTTGTGCTGAGATTTCTCATATCTGGTCTATTTCTTCTCAACAGTTAGCATTCACAGCGGCAGTTTTATATACTTGCCTAATTCTTTTTGGAATGTCTCTACAAGTTTGGGACACACTTGCCGTAGAATTTGTCTGTACAAATTGTTTGTAGGTGGTTTTTTTGTCATACTAGACTTTTAAAATAAGTTAATCAGTTCTGAGATGAGAGCTTGGTTTGTGAACCTAGGCTCTTTGTTGTACAATGCTTTGTTCTACTTGATCTGAAACACCATCCATGTTTCAATCCAAACTATGATTTGACTTTGGATACCGTAGAGCTAGTGATTGTCTGATTCATATAGTGTGTTTTTTTGGACTTGCACTGTGGTCTAGGTACTAGACTGAGGTAATACATTTTAATTTGATAATTTATTTCAATTCATTAAAATAAAAAAATTAGTGCTAAAACTATTAAGTATTATGTTAAGCTCTTAAAACTTTTTAAATAAGGTTTTACATTGCCACAAACAACTCCTGAAAGATTTTGAAAAAAATGAGGATTGCTTACATTTACAATGCATAATATTCTTAGAGTTTCAACGAAAATAAAAACTAATAACCATAGAATGTGAAGGGTGGAAAAGTGTATATATTTGTCAATCAAAAACTATAACAAAATAAAAAAGTAAAAATACTCCTATTGCAAATGGTATTAGAATGATGGTAAGAAGTAAGTATTCAGAAAAACAACTAGCACATCTAACAAATAATAGAACGTGTATAATATCACATAAGTCATATTTTAATTGTAAATTAGTTCAAATTTTAACTTGAGGCAAAAGACAATACCAAGGAGATTCTTAAACATGCTTTCTATGAATATATTCTCAGATATATCATCACATCTCCTTTATCTTCCGACCCTTTAAAGATTTGGAAAATTAAAAAATTAATAATAATAAATTAGTAATACATTCAAGGATTTCTTTTTTAAATGTTTATAAAAAAAAATCATAAATCATATAAAAGAAATAAGGTTATATTTTATTTTTATTGAGATAAATATTTAAATTTAGTCAAATAAATATTTTTTATTATAATAAATTACACCATATCTATAATATTATCACTTAATTTTATATTATTTTGTAAATTTTAAATATTTCACTTAATACTGTAAGCCTAATCAATTTAATTTGCAAGGTTTCTAAACTTTTGGATATCTGATTATTAAATGATTTTTACAACTACTATAAACTTTGAATATATTTTTGTATAAGATTAATATAAGCAAATGTTGAGTCTTGTCTTATTTAAATCTTTTAAAATAGATAGATACAAAACTAAATACAATTTATTCAACTTTTGGATATATTATTAATATTCATGATTACAATTTTAATTAAGTTGACAATTTATAAAGTTACTTTAATTGCAATATAATTGTTTTCAATTTATAAAGTTTACTTTAATTGCAATATAATATATATTTATTACATGTCAAAACATATAAAATTCTATAATTCATATATTTTTATAAATTTAAATATAATTAGTATATAAATTAAATATCTATTACATATTTTAATCAATATCAACCATATATTAAAATGAACATATATTGTGAGATTAATTAACCAAATTAATATAAGAATATTAAATATATATTTTTATTTAGAATAAATATATATTTAAATTTAGAATAAATATATATTTAAATTTAGAATAAATATATATATTTAAATTTTATATAAAATAATTTTAGAAACATTAATATATTGAATAATAAATATATGATGTTATTTTGAAACATTAGTCATGCACCTAACCACTTTGTGCTATTACATTTTAAATATTAGTAAATTTATTATAAAAATTCAATTAAATGTCTTTCCAACTTACTATTAAAATATCAATAGAAAATTGGCACAATATCTATCTTGTTATAAAGTCTTTAAATTTTTCATTTCCTTAGTTAAATATTATCTAAATAATCACTAACATTGTAAATTATATTGATATATTTTAATTAATAGAATTGCTAAATATGAGATTTTAATTTATTTAGATATAAACTATTAAGTTAAAAAAATAAATTATTTATTTAGATATTTATTAGAATTTAAAAGAATTTATAAGTTGCAAGAGTCTTATTAGAGAAAAATTCATTAAAATAAAGTTTTAATAAGTCTTAGAGGCAATTATCTTGGTTAATTTAGTATTTTTTCTTAATTGTAAAAATTCATATTTAATTATTGAGATCAATGTCCATATTGACCTTTCATCCACATATATTGCTTATAAAAAACCTAAAAATAATAATTAGTAGATAGAATAAGTATAAGAAGAAACCTAACATCTTTTTGATAATTTATATAAAAAAAAAAATAGGATTTTTAGTTGATTTAAGTTGATATTATCACTTTGGAAGACTATTATAAGAAATTTGGAGAAGATTTGAAGGCCAAACAAGGTTTACAAGCTATTTGAATGCATTTAAATATCATGGTGTGGTCAAAAATACAAAAAAGTGGTTTTACTAGTATAAAATAGGAAGATCAACACCTAGTATAGTAGTTGTAGAAAGAGGTGCTTTGCATTTTTCAAAGCATGTTATACAAATGCTTATAGAAGAAATCTCTTTGATTGATTAATAATCTGAAGAAACCTTTAAACAAGTAATTTTTGGTCCTAAATTATAACTAATTTATAGTCATTTTTAAGATATGATGTTTATTAATAATATGCATATAATGATTTGGACCTTCTAATACACTTGAATTCTTCACTTAGAAATCTTGCATCTTCTTTTTTCTACATACATGCATATATATATATATATATATATATATATATATATAATTATGAATTTTTTGATTAATAATCCCAAAAAAAAAAAAAAAAAAAAAAAAACTTAAAAAAATAATTTGTTTTATACATAAACATTATAACTAGGTTTGGTTGTCCAAAATTTCTTATAGGTAATAGCATTACTCAATTTTAAAATGAAGATACAAAAAAAAAAATAACCACATTGATTACAATCAACTATTAATGATCATGTCTTATTATCTTTAAACAAATAGATTTATAAAAAAAATCAATTAATTTTTTAATTTGCATCTTTAAAAAATTATAATAAAATCTAAATGTGATTAGAATCTTAAAATTATATCTCTTCTTCAGGCATATCAAACTACTTATAAAGTTTTTACAAAAGCCCCATATTTTTTAGTGTATAGAAATGAAACTTGAATTTCCATTTCTATTTATTTCTATTCATAAAAGATTGATTAATTCTAAATTATAAAGAAATATTTAATAGAAATTCAATATAAAAAACTATTTTTTATGAAAATTAATGTTTTTTTATAAAGAATATTAAATGTAGTTATTAGGGATAATCTCAATATAATTATATTATGATTCAAAAAACATAATTATTTTTATAGTCTTTTTATTTTTAAATGTATTGCAAAGATTTACATTCAAGTCAAACATAACAAGAAACGTTAAATAATTTAGTATTTTAGTGGTATTTGTCTCCAATGTCATAAATAGAAATAGACTAAGTTGTAATGGCATTACATATCAAAAATCTTGAATTTTAACTTAAATAGGAAGTTGAATGATATCTAATGCTAATTTGGTAAATCAAATAAGAAGTTGCTATATTTAAAAATTTGTTTAAAAAACCCAAAATATTAAATTATATTGCTATTATAAATTGAAGTCTTATATTTTTTTTTGGTTTTTTTTTTTTGTCTTGTTTAAAAATAAAGTCTTATGTGATATATTATTGCTCTATTTATTTTTATTTTTATTTTTATTTTAAATACAATGTTATAAGCAAAAATATAATTTATTTGGCATTTACAAATAGTTCCAATTGTTGAGAATATAGAGCCAAAAAATAAGTTTGAAGTGACTTGGTTTTAGAGAACATATCAATTATTACAATAAAATCAAAATAGAGGTTAGCAGGGAGCAATAAGTTTCCTTCTTTCCTTCTTAGGAATAAGTCGGCCCTCGTTTGACGTCCACGGCGTGCTCGCCTTCTGCTTTGTCCTCTCTCCCCAATTTTCCATGCGCAGAGTGCGCACTGCAGACTGCGGATCTCCCAAATCACTATGTCCAGAAGATTTTTGGGCCACTTCCAGGCAGGAGCATCTGAGGTGAATGAAAGCGACTCGATTCTCGCCGAGGGGTGCAGAGAATCGTGCATGGAGCAGTGCGAAATGGGAACAGAAAATTGCACTGCTGGTAAGCTTTCATCGCCCTCACGCGGACCTCTCTTCGGTGGCGTGCCAGGGCTCCCCGACTCTCTGCTTCACTGCCCCAGACTTCGTCTTAGTCGTCTCTGGCTACTCTACCGGGTGCTGAGAAATGTGAGAGGTGTTGCGTGCTGTTAACCCACTGAGCGCATGTATGCTTTTATTGTACGAGTGAAGCGAACGTTTGCGAAGGTTGTACTGTGCGCTGCTGGTAGCGAGAGGATCCGACAGCACCGTGGAGGGAGGCTCGGACCCTCTGTTTTTCAGGTGAGTGACGGTGCCTTGCCCTCTGATCGGATGGTATGCACCTTGTGAGCTTTCGTGGTCGCGAGCTGATCTCTGGTGCGGTTATGACCCAACTGAGAAAGCCGCTTCGAGTTTGCGCAACGGGAGCTTATCACGTGAATGTAGCACTAATTGTTGGAGTTGTGCTCACTGTTTCTGGGGTTTCGTGTGCAGTTTGGAGCAGAGTAAGGAGTAAGAAGGAATAGCCGGTGCTTGAACGCTGATGTTAAATCTGCCCTCTTGAGATTGGATAGTGTCTCTCCTTCTAAGGTGGGTGCGGGAGATGCTGGGGTTTCATTACTGCGTCAACGTCAGAAACTTTTTGCCGTCACAGCAGATTTTACGGGGACAGCAGACGGACTTGGGAACGCTTTTCAGCGTCAGTGGCTGCTTGCACCGTCGGCTGTGTGAGCTGTCTGGGCGTTCGACGTGTGGCTTACTGCTCGTCTTGCCTGGGCCGTTGGGTATGTGTTGTGTCTTGTGTTCCAGGCTCTAAGTCCCGAGGTCTATCTCTGTTGCAATCGGAGTTTGGCCTCGAAACAGGAGTCGGGGCGGGGATATGGAGCCTTCTACCGTAACCCTGGTCCCATGGTTTATCTTAAGTCTCCTGGACTGCTTCAAGGCCTGCAAACTGGAGTAGCTGTGCTATGTGGACGGGGATGGGGCCCCCACAGCCGGTCTAAGAACATGTGTGCCGTGCCCGGAGCAAACATTCAGCATGGAATAGTAGTCTGGATGGTGAGAAGGGAGCTCGTGGTGTGGGGAACTT